TAATAGTGCTAGATGGTGGAAGGGAATTAGGAATGGGCATATCATGGTTTCTGACCATTTGATCATTCATTCATTCATTCTCCAAATACAGTCATCCTTTGGTATCCATGGGAGGTTGGTTTCAAGACCTCTCACAGATACCAAAATCTGCAGATGCTCAAATCCCTGATATAATGGCATAGTATTTGCATATAACCTATGCACATACTCTCATATACTTTAAATCATCTTTAGAGTACTTATAATACCTGATACAGTTTAAATACTATGTAAATAGTTGTTACACTGTATTACACAAAGAATAATGACAAGAAAAAAGTCTGTACACTTTGAGTACAGATGCAACTTTTCAAAATATTTTTGATCCGTGGTTGGTTGAATCCACAGATGTGGAACCCATGGATACAGAGGGCTGACTATATTTGTAGGGCACTTGCTAATACCTGCTTGGCCCCCAGGACGTAGATACAGAAGCTCTGACTATAAACCAAGGAGACTTTCTTTATTTGACTGTGCAGGCTTAGCCTGTATTAGGGGGACCTTCCTCACAATGGTCCCCTGGAAAGCTGGGGATGCATTCCAGGGAGGCAGCTGGTACCCAGAATGTATGTGGGAACTCCTATTTTAGAATCACCTTCAGATCCAATTTATAAGCCAGGGAGAAAATCAGTTTCAGCACTTTTCAATTATCTCTCTCTTTGTCTATTTTATTTTTTTTAAAGAAAAAAATGATGATCTCCCCCACTCCAGCACACACACACACACACACACACACACACACACACACTCTCTCTCTCTCTCTCTCCACCAGATAATGCCATCTGACTATTAAAAACAAAAATCAGTTCATCTCTCAGATGCCTGAAAAGCATGGGCTTTGGCAATGGACACACCTGAGTTTGAATCCTGAGTCCATGTGGCCTTTCTGTGTAATCATACCCAAATGACTTAACCTTTTCAAGTCTCAATTTATTATCTTTAAAAGAGATATGATAATAAACCTTGTAGTATCTCTGTGAGGATTAGAGATAATGTACTTTCAAGGTCCACTGCAGCATCCCGTATAGAGACAAAGCTCAGAAAATGATTTTGTGGTTTTTAACTCCCCAGTGAGGAGCTTTCAGAGTTTTGCAAACCTTCAGACACCTTTGGCAGGCATGCTCCAGTGTTCAGGCCCTACACACATTGGATGGTAATGCCAGCATGTTTGTTAAAACACAGCAAAGTACAGAACGGCAGGGTCCTTGTTGTCTTGTTATACCTTGGGGAACCATAGAATCTAGAGGTCTTCTCATCCAGTACCTCCACCATACAGGGGGTGTGGTGGGGGAGGACTGAGGCTCCCAGAGGGAGAAGTAGTGGCAGTCAGTACCAGTCGCTGGAGGTGGCAGGCAGAGCTGATAGAAATCTGCAGGTCCCAAGATTGTCATAAGATCTGGACTCAAGGCTCAGGCATTCCCCAGGCCCCCAGGGGCAGGGGCTCACCACCACCTCCTAATACTTCAGCTTTACTTTGTTCAGCAAAGGATGGACAGTGGATATGGCTGCCAGGAGAAGGACATGGCTGCTTCTCATGCAGCTTTCCTCTTCCCTTGCTCTGGAGCCGGCCTAGACTCTGCCAAGCACAAAACCAACGTTTAAGTTATTATTATACCCTCTCAACAACCTCCCACAGGTAATATCTTCTCGTGCACAAAACCAGCTCAACTTTGAAAGGCTGGTATGGTAACTACTGCCCATTGGACAGATGGGGACACAAAGTCTAGCCCCAAATTAGATACAAGTCATTGGTTTTAGTCTCAGGGCTAGGACTGAAACCAGGACATGAGGAAAATCTTTAAAGGACCTGCCTTCACCGCTCCCACTCCAGCCTCATAGCCAAAGGAAATAATTTCTCTACAAGTCTAAGTTCTCTAAGAAATAAATTTTTAAGGCTTGAAGTCCTAAGGGGCAGACAGAAACAGAAGAAAGAACTAAAGGAAGAAGTACAGGGGGATACCAAATACCTAGGCGGGAGAAAGTCTAGAGGAACAGCGTGGGGCGGGTGGCAAGAAGAACATGTGCTTCATGTAGAGTCAGGCAGACTGGTTCTGTTCCTTATTAGCCATGTGACCTTGGACAAGTCATTCACCTTTCTGGGTGCCCACCTTAGAAAGCCATAGGGTTGTTGTGAGAATTCAATGAAATGGAAAAGCACGTGGAGGCTTGGAACCTCCTGCAGGGTGTCTAGCACATGCAATTGATTAGAAGCATCTTATGGAATATCAGGGCTGGAAGGGGCTTGAAAGATGACCTAATCCTGGTGTCTCATTTCACAGACAGAGAAAAAAGGGCCCAGAGAGAGGAACTGACTCGTCCAAGGTCACGCAGCAAAGTCATGGTGGTGCTGGGTCTAGCACCCTCAGTTTATCTTGAAATCAAAGACCAATGCCTACAATAGACCCAATCTTCTAAGCTGTGCAAGGGGAGGAGAAGCTTTTTTAGTGGTTTCTCCAGTCCACGGAGCCCTAAAAGTTAAGATTTCTTTTTCCACTTAAACAAAAATGTGGTACGTCTACCCTACCCCCAGAAAAAAAATACATAAAAAATTTTAAAAACACCAAAATTAAAACTAAAATCCCAGGCCTTAACAAAAAGGCACTCTTTTAAGCCTCGTTTTTCCCGCTTTCCTCTTACACTACACCCCCCCCACCACCACCGAGTATTTTGCAGTAACAGTAATGCTGCAAGGAAAGAAAAAATAAAAATCTGATGCACTTAACAGATATTTCGGTATAATAATGCATCACAGATGTTCATATCAAACTGTGCACGCGCACATGCAATTTTACTGAGAAGGCTGTTGCATTTCTGACTGTGGATTTTGGGATCCCTAATGACCCCATCTGCCCAGGCTCTGGAATCTCACCCTTCCCAGTTAGCCCAAGGCTGCCCAAGGGGGTGGAGAAGAGATTTCATCACGTCCCTCCAAAATGATAACAGGACGAACTGACAAAGTCGGACACTCTGGCAGGTGGTGAAGGGTGTGTAGATTAGGGAACCAAGAGGAAACCTGTTTTCTTTTGTTTGGGACTTGCTTTCTGCAGCCCTTTCGAGAGGCTGGACCCAAGAACGATTTAAAGAGCGGGTCCATACTGGTGATGGGGTGGGCGCGTTTGTGAAACAGAGATTGGAGACTGTCTGATCTACAAACATAGGCTTTGGAGACTGTCAGCAGGCTCCTTGCTGGCCGATGAATGGCTCTCAGGAACTTTTCCTAAAACATAACCTCTCACACTTTCCAGCAAATGTTTTCAACCTACCAAAGCCATCATTTGGTTTGAACAGCAGTGTTTCCAGACTCTGAAGGAAGATAGCTTTGTTGATTTAAGAGCGAGAGACTAAAGCCAGGGGCTGTTTAACCAGAGACTTCATGTGCTCCCTTCAGCCCTTGTCGGATTCCTCTGTGGTTGGTACAAAGAGGATGTTGAGAGTGATGGTGGATCATCCACCTCCTCCCCAACCTAAAAAAGATATCGAGGCCAGACATGAGGCTTCTGAACACAGAGGCCTCCCACAAACCTGCCTCCAAAATGAGATGGGCGGTGAGTGCCCAGGGGCCTGACACAGATAATATCAGCTTCAGAGGCTGGCAAGGGAAAAGGCACTTCAGAGGGAGAAAGCCGCTATGTTCAGAGGAATCAGCACTGGGCTAGAGAATACACAGGATTTTCCCCCGTGGAGAAGGAGTCAGGCGTAGTCAGAACCCTGCAGGGCGTGACTAACTGCCCCAATATTCCTGCCACCAGGGCCCTCTGGGTAAGGACTCCACAATTATGGGAGAGCCAGCAGGAGAACCGACAAACCCGCCTTTCATTTGGCCGGCAAATCAATCTGGCTTCTTACCTCCCTGGGGACAATATTGCATTTCCCCTGGAAAAACAAAGGCCAGAGATCTCAGAAAGGGGATCAGTTTCTACTGCTGTTTCCCTGGTCAAGCGCTTGCAACATCTTGGTAGCAGCAAGCAGGTCTGATTCCAGTGGTAGAATTTCTGGCTGGGCCAATTTACGGGGCTGTCTCCTTAATGAGGAGAATGTCTTGGGGCCACTCTTCATTCAGGGAATCCCAAGACCGGTCTTGGGTCCTCCTTGCAGGAGCCACCAGCCCTGACTCAGATGACAGCCTGGTTCTCAAGGCACAGATGTGAACTCATTGTTCCCGGGGCCTCAGAGCTGAGTTTGGGGCCAGTGAGTTGCGAGTGACCTCTGCCCATGGAGACTGGGCTTTTAATGACATTTTGCTGGATCAGGTCTCTGGCAGCCAGAGACTTTAAACCTCTTAAGTCCCTTTCTTATCCCTGCCCCCACTCCTGAGGTTCAAAAATCAGAACACACTTCTCTGAAATTATTAACCCCAAAACTCTCTTTGCTGACTTTCTCCAGCTTTAGGGAGGCGGTCCGAGGGTCGCCTAGAGCTTTGCAAAGGAAAAGCCTGGCAGTGCCTTAACCTCAACAGCAAACCAGTGGCCATAGAGATGCCAGCTGCCACAGCACCTCCCTGTCAGGCCGGTCTCAGGAGCCATGTCTTCCTCTGTGCTTTCTCCATACATACACACTGCTGCAGGTACGTCACACAACAGCCTCCTGTGCTCCAGACACCAGGGCCTAGGGAAGGCCTGATGCAAACTAGCAACTCCCTCTTTTTGTTTCTGATCACACTGATGCTCCCAGGGAAATTCTTTCTGCTCAGGCAAGCACGGCAGGTGGGGAGTGTATATCCCGAACAGGTAACGCCACTGAAACGCAAGCAAACACCCGAACTCTTACCACAAATTCTGGCACACATTGGTTTCCCCTCTTCCCACCAAAACAGCCAGAGTACTGCCCCGCAGCCTGAAAGCACTTCTCCCCTTGGGGAAAGAAGCCAGGGCTGTCTGCCTGCAGGAGGACAAAGTAGACCAGAGAAGGGGGCCGAGGCTCCCTGGGGCTGTTGGCTGTGGGCCAGGGCCCTGCGTGCCTACCTGGGAGAAGTTGAGCCCGTTGAGCGGATGGCACTGCTCCTCCACGCGTTCCACGGCCCCTGTGCTCTTCTTCATCTTCTCGGCTTGCTGGGCCAAGTAGAGGTCGAGCACGGGCACACCGCGGGAGCGCACGTCGGTCTCCGTGAGCGAGTTCACCATGAGCATCACCCACACGGGCCTCTTGCGCTCCCAGTTGCCGGCGATGGCGTTGAACAGGTAATCGGCGTAGAGCCCCTTGCCACGCTGAGCCGGTGTCATCCATGACGGCATCATCAGCTTCACGTAGTCCAGGTGGCGCTTCAGGCGCCAGTAGAGCTCGCGCGGCAGCACGTCCTGCAGGTTCTCCCCGTGCGGCAGCAGCTGGCAGCTGGCCAACGCCGAGATGGTATAGGGGTCTGTCAGGTCCAGCTCGAAGTAGACGCGGGCGCTGGCCTGGAAGGCCGCCTTGGAGTTATCTGGGATGAAGTCCCAGACGCGGGTGTAGGGGACATGAATGGTGCCAAACAGGTAGGCTGGGGGGTCGCGCCGAATAGTCCACAGGAAGGAGTTCAGCTCCCTCTGCTGCAGGGGGAGAGGAGAGGCAAGGTAGTGAGGCTGAAGGCAACAGAGTGGAGCCAGGGGTGGTACAGAGGGGTGGCAGGAGTCACAGAGGGGGTGAGGAGGCGATTAGGGGTGGGGGTGGGGATAGGAAAGCAGAGATGGGGCAGTGGTAAACGGCAAGGCTTTGGAAGCTGAAAGACCCATACAAGCCTGGGTTTGCCCTGTCTTAGATATGTGATCTTCAGTGAATCATTTCGCTTCCCACAGACTCAGTTTTCACATCTGTAAAATGGGGATGACAGCAGTTACCTCAGGGGTTGTTGGGAGGATTAAAAGACACAATATATGTATGTCAAACTCTCGGAGCTGTACCAGGCACAGAGGAAGTCCGCAAGGATGGGAAGCTCTCATTACGATGAGCTTTTGCTGTGAGTGCCAAGGCCTGCCACAGCACCTGAGAGTACTCATGCTTGGCCAAGCCAGACCTTCACCAGGGGTGTTTCATGTGGAGGGTGGGGAGAAGGGGACCAAGAGTCCTGCTCTGGCAAGAAGGGAGGAAGTCATATAACTTTTAAATCCAACCATTAGAAGATACATGCCAAGAGCACTTTGAAAGCAGAACGCCTATTAAAAATAGCACACCTATTTAAACAGCTACTTCCCATTCATCAGGATGACTACACTTTTCTTTTCGGAGGGCAGGTCTAGCATGTCAGCTACTTTGCTCGACCAGCTGAGACCTTACATGACAAAGTGCTTTAAAGCCTTGCAAGGCCAAGTCAAGTCTCAGTCTCTGGTTTGGGAAGGAGAGGATTCCATAGTGTTAGTCCCAGAAATGCACATGTTCTGGGTGCTTTCCAGGCTTCTCCCTTCAAAATGTATCCCTGGTCTCCAACCCCAATTCTCTGTCATTTTCTATGACCTAAGTTCTTGTGTGTGTGTGTGTGTGTGTGTGTGTGTGTGTGTGTGTGTGTGTGTGTGTGCAGGGGTGAAGGAGGAGCACACAGACAGGGGTCATTTCTCCCAATCAGATTAGGGCCAGGGGGTATGGGGAGTGAGAAGGGGATTATCATTTCTCTCTGGCAAAGCCATTTTCCATCCAGAAAATCCCCAGAGTGCCAACTGACTACTTGCAAGCTTTAGATCAACTCATACCATTTTTCTGCCTGATTCTGGCACAAATGAAAAATATGTGTTGGGCTGGGTAGGTGTGGGGAACAGTACCTCATTTTACTAACAACCAAAAATTGTAAATCCCAGCATAGTGGAGACAGACTGAGCCAACAAGCTCCCTGTTTCTGCACAAGGGAGGCCGCTGGAGGTGCACCTTGCCCAAGGTCAACTAATACTCTCTTAACAGTACAGCACAAGAGGACCCAACAACACCGATTCTGCTCTCCAGGTCTCCAATTCAGTGTTATTATCAATGCGTTAATTTATACTTAGAGGGAAGAATACTGAAGGAAATCAGGAGATTCCTTGTTTTGGAAGGAAAATTAGAAGAACCAGTAATTACTCGATCCCTAAGAAAATATTAGCCCAGCATGTCCTGGCATTTCCTTTTCCACTCCTCTGGAATCTTCCCCCTTTTCACGAACTAGGGGTCCTTGGGAGAGTAGGTGCTGGGACTTGAGCTGCAGAGAGAGAGAGAAGTGGGAACCAGCACTAGGGAGAAAGTTTGCCTTAGGTCAGAGTGGGAGGGCGGGAGGGCGAGGGAAGCCTGGGCGGGGGCCCAGTGCGTGAATGAGGGAGCGAAAGTGGTGGATGGAAGTCGGAGAAGGGCCAAGCACGGTAGAAAGAGAGTCAGAAGTGGGCAGGGAGACCAGAAGGCTAAAGACAAGATAAAAGTCAGAAAGACGAGAATCAGAGAGGGGCACGAGAGAGGAAACGTCCAGGCAGGACCGAAAGTCAAGCGGAGAGCCGGGAGCGTCAGCGTGCGGAGAAGGGACCGGAGACAGGGAGCGCCCATCTCGCTCCCGGCTCGGAGCCGGAGCCAGGGCGCGCAGAAGCGAGGGCAGCGCCCGAGGCCGTGCCCGGCGGACGGAGGTGGAGCGGATGGGCTGAGGCGGGTGCGGAAGGCAGGACCCAAACCATCGTCCCCACAGGCTGGAGTGCCCGGGCGGGCGGGAGAGTGGCCGGGCAGGCGCTCGCTCACCGATCCGGGCGGCCGGCACTGTCCTCCGTCCGGGGGCTGCGGGCGGGCGCGGGCGCCGGCGAGGAGGGCGGCGAGCAGCAGCCCCGCCAGGGCGGCGCGCATCCTGCCGGGGCTCGCGGGGCGCGGGGGACCCTCCTGGGCGGCGCCCCGTCAGCGGGGCGGGGAGCCCCCAGCTGGGCACGGAGCTTCCTTTGGAGCGCGGGGCTCCAGCCGCAGGATGCTTGGAGCCCTCTGGGGCGTGGCTGGATGTCCCTGCCGGACCTGGGGGTCCCTCAGGGGCGGAGCTCCGTCTGTAGGAAGAGGGGGACCCTCTGGGGCGGGGCCCCTCGCCAGGGCACGCAGCCCCGTGGGCCGAGCCCCGGTGTTCTGAGAGCGCACGGGGGTCCCGGAGCTGCGTCGGGATCCAGGGGCGCGCGGAATTCCTGGGTCAGGACGGAGATACCGGGGTGCGCGGGGGTCCCGGGCTTATGCTAGGCACCCGGGGCGCGCAAGGGTCCCAGGGGTGCGCGGCGGGGGGCCGGGGCCGCGCCGGGCCGGGCCGGGCCGCAGGGAATCGGGGCGAGCTCCGCTCCCGGGCGCGGCGAGGCGGGGTCTGATGGGCATGGCAGGCGCTCGCTCGCTCCCCGCTCGCTCCCTCGCTCGCTCCGTCACACTCGCGCGGAGGGAGGCGAAGCCTGCAGCGGCCACTTCCCAACTTTCCAAACTTCCCAGCGCAACTTTTTCCTCTCCTCCCCTGCCCGCGCCTCCGCCTCCCGCACCCCTCCCCTTCCCCTCGCCAGCGCCACACCGGGCCGTAGCTTCCGCGCGCGGCCGCCAGAGGGCGCCCGGGCCGAGGCCCCGCTCTGCCAACCTCCGCTGGCTCAGGGTGGACGCGGACTGGGCGGGCAGCGACAAATTCGGGGACGTGGACCAGCCTCGCCCAACGCATCTGCCCTGCGAGTCCTGGCAGGAGTGAACAGCGAGAGGGGCAGGAGTTGTGGAGGCACTCCTAGACCGGCTGGGAAAGCAGCAATCACGCGAAATCCAGCGAAGCTGATACTTACGACCTTATATCATGCCACCGTACCTAACACTGGCGTGCGCTTAGTAGCTACTCTGCAGACACCAGCTGGAAAACAAACAAACAAACAAAAAAAAAAAAAACAGTCCAGAAAACAATCAAGCTCAAAATTTCTTGGAACCTTTTATTTAGGCAAATTTTCCCATCTATTATCTTGGGCCCATGCAGGATACTTGTGCCTAGCTCTGGAAGAGTAAGGATTCATATCCCAGTTTCTTAGATCATAGGAATTAAAAGAGGTCTTGAAACTAACCTCTTTTTGTTTCTGAGAGGCAAGTGAGACTCAGAGAAGGCGAGGGGCTAGATCCAAACTTCCGAACCATTTCCAGCAAATGGGAAAACTGAGTCATAGGTACCACTGCTTAGGTCTGTTAAACGAGAGTTCACTGACTCTTCCTATCCTAGTAACATATGCTGAAAAATCAATTAGATGATGTTGTCAGGAGCCCACAGCCTAGAGAGGGAGACAGGCAGGGAGAGATAAGCCTCTACAGATGGTGAGTGCCAGGAAGGACAGAAGCACAAGGAAATGGGAGCAGAGAGGAAGGGCTCCTAACTCATCCCAGAGGCCCATGGAAGACCCCTGGGAGTTGGTCCTGAAAGATAAGTCAGAGGTAGCTGAGTGAAGGAGGTGCACAGGTCTTCCAGATGGAAGAAAAGCAGGTGCCAAGGGGTAGAGGTGCAAGAGCCAGGTGCCTGCAGGGGACTGCAAGCAGTTAGGCATGGCTGGAGCAAAAGCAAGTGGCAGAAGCTGAAGTTGTGGCTTATCACCAGACTTGGGTGTCTGTTCTTTGTATGTCCCAGGTGATGGGAAGTCACTGCAAGATTTGAAGTTGAGGGTCACTGGAGCAGATCTGTGCTTGTAGGGGGCATGGATTTGAGGGGACAAGTTGAAGGGAGGGGGCCTGGTGGGGAGACAGGCCATGAGTGGGGAGCCAGGGCCCCAGCCCAGGTCTCCTGACTCCCAGCCCAGTTCTCTCCTCGCAGCTCCCACTCATGCCTCCAGGCACCAGATTGAGCACCTGGGGAATGACCATGGTAGAAGGTTGAGTGAGGAAGACCATCTGGGGTGGAGGGGCAGAAAGGCTCCCTAGAGCACAAAATTTGGGGAGGAACACAAGAAGAAAAGGAAGGGGACACCAGAAACTGGCAGGAACACATGATTTTTTGTAGGTCAAAAAATAATGACTGTCAGCATTTTCATATAGTTCAACCTACTAGGTATCCACAGCACCCTCAGCCTTTTAGCCACACACACACCTGATGACAGACACTGAGCAGGCCAGAGCACCCAGACAGCACACGGGCACAGGGTAGCTCCATGTTTCCCATACACCAAGCTCTGAGAGCTACAGCTATGACAAAAGAGAAGTCCTTTAAAGAGCTTCCACTCCCTGCGGCTTGAAAACTCCCAACAAAGACACCACTCCTCTGGATAAAAATGAGGGGAAGTGAGAATTTATTTGCACTGGAGGGGGGATCCTGGTGTTCACTGAAGAATTAGAAGACACAGCCAGATAGTGGATAAGAAAAAGCCTGATCTAGTTAAAAGCAATGGTGCATGTGAATATGTGTTTGTGATTTTTTAAATCTTCCTCTCCTCTGTTTCAAATAAAAGTTCCTTGGTATCTTTTCCCCGAAAATTGTAAAACTTTTGTTGGCTAATTGTCATGAGTGCCAGCCGTGACCTCCTCTTCCATGACCCCACACAATGGCTGGGACCAGGGGCAGAACAATTGGCTTCTCAGCGCCTCTCTTTCTCCAGCCAGCTCCCTGTGCTCCTCACTGTTTTTCTATGAGTCAATATGTGCAACATGTTTTAGAAGCTTTGCAAGTATTGTTACTGATATTGTTAATCAGAGGTAAGAGCAAATAGGTTTTCCATTCCTGGATATGTACCCAAAAGAATTGAAAACATACATCCACACAAAATCTTGTACACAAATGTTGACAGCAGCATTATTCATAGTAGCCAACAGGTGGAAACTACCCAAATGCCCATCACCTGATGAATGGATAAATAAAATGTGGAATATCAAGACATCATGCTGTACACTTTAAATATATACAATATAAAAATGTAATATATTCATATGATGGAATATTATTTGGCTGTAAAAAGGAATGAAATACTTACCGATACATGCTATGACAGGGTCAATCTTGAAACATCATGTTAAATAAAAGAAGCCAGTCATGAAAGGACAAATATCATATGATTACATTTATATGGGATGTCCAGATAGGCAAATATACAACGTCAGGAAGTAGTTTAGTGATTTTCTGGGAACGTGGAGATTAGGAGACCATAGCTGAAGGATACTGGGATTCTTTCCAGAGTCATGAAAATATTCTAAAATGGTGATAGTTGCACAACTCTAATAATCATTGAATTGGTCACTTAAAATGAGTGAATTGTATGGCAAGTGAATTATGTCTCCATGAAGCTGTTACAAAATATATATATATATATATATATACATATATATATATATATATATGTTTGGGGCCCCAGGGGAGAGTGCTCCCCAAGAACAAGGGTCTCTGTTTTTGAACAATTTTTCCTCCCATCTGGTGTAGTGAGAGAAGCCCTGGATGATTATAAGTCCTCGGTCCCAGAGACTTAGGCTGCTTCTGCTACCTTCTCACTGGGTAGCTCTGGGTAGTTCAGTTGTCCTCTCTGAACCTAAGCATGAGCTGCAGTTCTACATCATCAGAATGAACAAGCTCATGCAGCAGATAACCTTAAGGGCCTCTGTACCCAACACTAGAGTTCCGAGTTCCATGGCCATAGCCTGCTGGCCCTTCAGGTGGGTTGGGAAAGGGTACAGGGCTCAAGAGGGAAGTGGTGGACTCAGAGTCCTGCCTCCTCTCCCCTGGGGCACATCTGGTCCACTTTTCTTTTATTGCATTCTAATTAAGTTGTTCAGTCAGATTGGTACCAGGAATCTGTAGGCTGTGACAGCCAGGGCAGGAGCAGAAGCCTTGTAGCGTAACTAAACCAACAAATCCTGCCTCCTGGGCAGTTCCCGGAGCCCAGGTATATTAGTTCGTATCTATTACTTACAACAGAATACCTGAAACTTGGTAATTTATAAAGAAACAAAGTTTATTTCTTACAGTTTGATGGCTGGGAAGTCCACAGTCCAGGGGGTACATCTGGTGAGGGCCTTCTTCTTGGTGGTGACTCTCTATAGCGAAGCAGGGTGTCACATGGCAAAAGGGTGAGACAAGCAAGAGAGAGCTAACCTTCTAATGCATTCTCCTTATAAAGCAATTAGAACCATACCCATGACAACCCATTAAACCATCAACCCATTACTCCATGAATGGATCAAGTCAACCTTAAGAGAGGGGAGATCAGCAAAGGTCTTTGCCAAAAGGTGATGTCTGAGTTTATCTTTAAGGATAAGCAGGAGTTGGACAGGGAGGATGAAGAAAGGAAGGTCTTTTCAGGCAATGGGAACAGCGATTGCAAAGGTATGGGAGTGTAAGTGCTTGGCACATTTAGGCAACTGTAAACAATGGTGGGGGAGGGCTAGTGTGCCGAAGAACTACGGGGGAGGGTCAGAAATAAGAATGCACCAGGAAGGACTATGCATGATCTTAGAAAGGGCCCTTCATCCTGCCAGTCAGAGGAGATAATCATGTTAGCTTGCTCTGTGTAAATTGTGGGTGCTGGCTGAGGATGCTTAGCATGTCAGGTTCCAGATGAGATGTGTGTGCAGCCAGATACGTGCAGCCCTCAGCAATATAACAGCATGTGTGTGTGTGTGTGTGTGTGTGTGTGTGTGTGTGTCTGTCTGTCTGTGTATAAAAGAGCGTTGACTCTGTTAACTCACACATGTTTATTGGGTCCCTGTATGTAGTGTAGGGTCCTAGGCAGGAAGGAATAATAGTCCCGCTCTCTGGTAACTTGCCATTTTTGAACAAGACAAAAAATATGTAGGTGGTGAGTTAAAATGCATTTAAGTGAATAATTCTGCAATAAACTTGGGAGTGTAAATATTTCTTTGAGATACTGATTTCATTTCCTTTGAGT